GAGGGATGCCGTCGCTGCTGCTGCTGCTGCATCTGCCCCTTTGGTGTAATGATATCTGAAAAAAGAACTACTGCATTCAGCGAGACTCCGGGCCATCAATTTGCCTCGTAAATGGGATTCGACGAAGCATATCTTTCTCTCTCTCTCTCTCTCTCTCTCTCTCTCTCTCTCTCTTTCTCTCTCTCTCTTCTTCGGGCCGGCCCAATCGGATTAATGCGGGTCCCGGAAATTATACCGCTATTGCATGCGGCGACACGATAAATTTTATCAACGCGAACAAAACGATAATTGTATCCTGTCGCTTTGGCTCTTGGTTTATTATGTATCGATAGCGGGCGGGATTACACTATCTCCCCGCGCTACATTGCAGCTTATTGTCGTTTGCATCCCGCGATCCCGCTAATATTAGGAGATAGATGAATCCTCCAATTTCGTACGTGTCGTATTGTCGAATTGAAATCGAGCTATCGCTGTTTACTGATCGTATTGGATTTGATTCGAAGTTCGCGCAGCGAATTTGTTCGGAACGTGACAATATATTCGTGCACATATATTCGACAACGACAGCAAATCTGCAAAATAATAAATCGAAATGATGTATACTTTATGTATTTACACTTTATATTGCATTATTTACACTTTATATTGTCAGTTATTATACAGTCATATGATCACAAATATCCTTTCCCTGTTTTAATCTTATTCGAAAAATATTTTTTTTTATATTACACGGTGATATTTTACCTATCTCTTGCACACATGTATAAATGACTTTGTTTTTATACAAATATACTCGTAACAATAAAAATATAAAGCCACAATTTTGATATATTTCAGTTGTGCGCAACATTGTGATGTTGTATCTATGTAATTGAGAAATCTATCAAAATTGCGGTTTTACATTTTTATTGTTATGAGCACGATGCATTTGTATTTTCAACAGAATAAAACGAATATGAATAGTTATGTATATAGATATTATATTAATGTATGTAAAATGGAATATATGTGACATATATATATCCTCTCGTAGAGGCAAACGCATTAGTTGCGCGGATGATGTCTATATACAACATGAATAACAATGCATCGATCGTTGTTCGTCCACATGCACATTAAAGGATTTCTCTACTCATATAACGGCCCAAAAGATTGATGATTTTTAGGAATTTTTTTTTGGAGGAATAATGAATAATGATCTTTCTCCAGGGGTTTATGTTTTTATTCATGTTTCAACTGTATCGGCGGCAAGGCCCATTTCTAAGGTCATACATCACCATTCGATGCTTTATAACTTCATCAATTTTTCAATGAAATTTCAAACACGTATTCTCCGGATATTATACTTACGGAAAATATATGAAACAAAGAAAATCTCGACATTTTTATCGTGCAAAATAGAAAGACTCCTTAACTTTATTGACTTCAAGCGCTCCGAACAAATAACGGCTCTACAATGTGTTACGCGAAGAGTTATCAAAGGAGTTATCTCCGAACTAAAAGTAATGGAAAATGCTTTTAATTTCCTCTTGTCCTTCCATTAGTTAATCTCTACGATTACTCCTCTCTCTCTCTCTCTCTCTCTCTCTCTCTCTCTCTCCCTTTCTCTTTCTCTAATAATTTAGAACTGGAAATTTAAGAGAAAGTTTTGAACCACTTGCTTTTCGTACCCGGTATATAAGAGAAAGTTATGAAATTTTCAGAAATTAAATTTCAGAATTGCGAATAGATTATAAAATCTTATTTGTCACATTTAGAGACACAAGTTAATGTAAACGGCTTTGACTCAAGGCAACTAATTTAAATGCAACGCGGTGTAATACGTTATATGAACATAACACGTTTTGCTAATTTTATATAACCAAGTTGTGCAACTGTGACGTCTTGAGTTCTTTCTGCCGTTGAAAGTGCGATAAACATATAAATTTCATAAATTTTAATTAGTATTTAAATTTAATGACAAACTATAGTAAAAAAGTGCAATCTCATATGTGCAAAAAATAATCAATGTTATGCAAACGTTACGTGACATTTGGTAATAAATTTTATATAACCAAGTTGTGCAGTTACTTCGTTTTCAGTTTCTATCGCTAGCTAGGAGTGTAGTAAGCGTCTCTCTGTCGCACAAATTTTTCTGGAACTTTACTCGAATTCAAAATATCTTCTTGCAGAGTTATAATTTCTTTTTTTTTTAATTTTTTGAAAAGTCGCGTATCGCCCAACGGCATTAAAGTACGTAAGTAAAATTCACGCACATTTCAGATTACACTGCATATTCCCGATAGCGTATTTTATGTAATTTCATAAACAACGCTTTTAGATAATAAATGCGCTGCAAATGATTTCATTTTAAAATGATTGCCAAACAAAAGCAGGCTGTGATAGCCGACGATGAGAATTTCAATCAATTTGTACGCGTACATGCTTTCGGTGGACGGGATTGCGAGTTCAGTATACAATTACTGTCCAATGCATTTTAAGTGTATTTATTTGCATAAGCCGTTTCCTAGTTTTACGATAATATTTATCTTAGAGGCCAGATGTTGCAGATGCGAGGAACGCGGATCGATGATGATATGTAAACGTTCGTCGTGCATAGGAGCGAGGAATACAAAGGCTTTTGTCGTACCGTCGCGTCGCGGCCACTACGAGTCGTAAAGAATCGGTTTCATTTGAACGTTGCAATGCCGCGCCGCGGCGTACGCGTCGAGAATTCAGCTCACGTCAGACACGTGTGTGAATTAAAAAACTCGGGAATAGACCGCCATTTTCTGCGGGAGGCAAATATATCACTATGTAATTTGCAGAATAAAGGAAAAAAAAAAGAAAATAGAGGGGGAAAAAAGAGATACGAAAGGGTGTGCGCACAAAGGTAACGCGGTTACGAACGGCGCTATCATTAGCGGAGTCTAATGAATCCGTTCGCAATTTCGCGTTACACAGAATAGCCGCCGAGGCTAAGGGAAGGAGATTAAGTAAACAGGGAAGATTATTCAGATAGAAATGATCACTCGGGCAGATTACCCGCAGCTGGACAAGAATGGAGGCGGTACATGCAAAAATATATTCTCCCGGGCTTTCCCGCTAAGCCATCTGGCCTCATTCTCTGGACCCCGAAAGATAAGTGCGCGTCTTATCGCCGTTTGTGAAATAGTATACCGCGGAGGTATTTTCCACCGTGCAGTTTCGCGTCCCATGTGTCGAATCCCTTGCATATTGTACGAATGAGTATAATCGAGCGAACTGGCACGTGTAACATCGCTAAATTATAATATACTTGTGCGAATATCTGATATCTCGGTAATATCTAATATTAAACTAATTCTTTCATTCATTTGACATGCAGTAGGGTAGAAAATTGAAATGCGAAGTATACTCATTGTCTGTAACTCGAAAAGTTCAACTTTCAGAAAATTAGAAACCGAATAAAATTGAAGAATTATACAAATCAAATATATGTGTATAACTTATTTTTTCTGGAAAAGCTCGAAATATTGTAAATTTTTCTTACGTTGCTCTTTCTTAGTTATCTTTAAATGTATGTTAATCATGGATTTTCTTACTTTCTAAAAAAAAGTGAAAATAAGTGAAATTCATCATCACTGATCTTCAGTGTATACTATCATTTTGCCAGTAACATCGTATACTTTATTATCGTAAACAGTGAGTTGAGTATTTCAAACAGTTTTGAGAACTGAAGTTCACTCCGCCTTTCAGTAATATTCACCGTTTGTGATAAAGTATAAGGTGCCACTGGTGAAAAATGATATAACACTGAAAATCAGAACGACAAAACTCCACTGATTCACTTTTCTTCCTCTGAGTTCTTTTGCCTCTTGTCAGAAGCGCGGTGACCCCTCTTATCGTATATATTTCTATGTGCATTATTTACAATTTACACAGACGTATGAAACCTACAGTTGCAAGAACGCCGGTTCCGAATGGCCCCCTTAATATTTAGAGGGGTTTTCCATGACAAGATGTACTCTCAGTGGATTGCTCTCGCTGGCCTTCCGAGAGGTAGCGATCGAATAAAAATCCGCTGTTTCTATATATGTATAGTCGGATTTAAACTCGGGTCTTTGGCACCGAAAGCAGACGCACAACTCTCTGCGCTACGATCACTACCTACGCACTTTTAGGGAGAGTAAAAATTTACCTTGTCCCATTATATCTTCTATTTATATCGGAAATACTATTAAAATCATTAAAACGTTTTTCACTCTTTTCAAGCTTCCCACGTCCTTTCGCAAAAGTCGATCGTTACTCAATGCTTCGAATTTGTCTTCGTTTCATCTTACGGCGGCAAAAGGTTTGCCGTAAGAAATCGATTTAGAAACGGGCGCGTGGCGAGCGCGGCATTATGCTCGCAATTTTAGCGGCGTCGCGACGAAAAAGGCCGCGGGTATCGACGTTGACGTCAACGTGCATTAGAAGTGAATGCCTTCACGACAACGTGATGGATACACCGAGAGAGTAAGAGGAAGGGGGAGTGAGAGGAAGGGGGAGAGAGAGAGAGAGACAGAGACAGAGACAAAGCCTGGTGGCTTCGACAAGCGCGGTTATGACGGGCCATGTTCCAAAGGATGATTACGCTATGCGTATCGGACGTATCGGTACCGAAATGAAGCTGGTCCTAATGAATAGAGCGCGGCTCGTCAAATACGTGAGAAGGGTTGACACGGATGGCGTTACGTAAAAGCGGCTCCTCGCAGGCGGGAAGCGCTTCATCGTATTATCATACTGTCTCACGCGTCGAAGGTACATTGCTCTCCGACATTAATCCTATAAGAGCGGTGTCGAAAAATCTCTAAAGCGTGTACAGCCGACACGAAGAGAGAAAAAGAGAGAGAGAGAGAGAGAGAGAGAGAGAGAGAGAGAGAGAGAGAGAGAGGGCGCACGTATTGTAAAATCCATCCGTCCCGACGGATAAATCGCTTTATCGCTCAAACGGTTTCGGTAACATCGCGCGGAAATACTTCGAGGGATACTGGAATGTTAAATGGATAACGTTTAAAAAGGATCTGCGTATCGACAGAAGTTGAGAAAAATTCAGGACAATTTCATGCTCGCTTCATTTCTATGCCTCCGCGTTCCCTTTTTAACTGAAATTTCCGGTGCGCGCATCATAAATCCGTTTTCCACCGAGCCGTGACAGTCGCTGCAGCGACGAGAAATCAATTCTTCAAAAATAAATCGCGAGATACTTTCTCCTCTCCTCTTTTTTTTTCTTCTTTTATTACCGTTGTCGGAGAGAGCTCTCGCTCTCTCTGCGCCGTAACGTCGTTATTCGTAATGACGCCGAAATGTATCGACGATGCTCAAACGAATAATGCAGCAGGCGTCGGCGTCGTATCGTCCGTATCGCAAAAGGCGCGCAGAGATTGCGAGGTCGCGTGATCGCCTGAAATTGTTCCTCTGTGCAACGTTGCGATGCAAAATAAGTAATACCCTCCCTGTCGGATGCAGCGTGCGTGTCTTTCAAATATTTCAACAAACGCGTCCCGTTTCGCTCAAACGATATTAGCTCGCTGGAGGAATATATACGGCTGATCGTGAGCCTTCAGGCAGAATAACGCGGCAGAATCGAACCCGTGTCAGAACGGCGATGTCTCGCAACGAGACTGAGAGGATGTAACTGGGACTCGCGTGTGAGAACTTGTATGTTATTTCCCAGAGGGATCAGTTCCTCCCTCCCGTCCTCCCCCACCCCGTCTTCCCTTCTCCACAGAGACCCGCGGCGCACCGTCCAGTGGTTTTAACCATCGAATTTTTCAAATATCATCAAAGGCCAAATAAAAAAGATTTCTTTTATATACGTGATCCCGGCAATGTTCTTTTCTCCGACGTTTTCCGTCTCTCTCTCTCTTTCTTTGACGTGGTAAAAGCTGAAGGGAGATCTTTGATAGTCAGTTTATTTTGTAACACGAAATGGAGTAGAGGCAAATAACTCTAAAAGAAATAACTCACGCTCAGATCCTGTAGATTCACGCAAGTAGTGTAGTTGCTCCATATTTGATTAGATTCAGGATGCCGGAACCACGTGCCGTTTAGCTCGCAGTATTTGTGCGCCATGACTGCAACAGAAGTTGGTTAGAATATCAAATGGGGGGATGTGGTGAAGTTGAGAAATGAACGTCGTAATTATCGATTTCTTAATTACCGAACTTTAACGGCACGTCTGCTAATAATATTAATGGAATTTCGCTGTAATACACGATTAGTCATTCGCTACATCATTTTTCATATATATTTCATATATGTTTCATATTGGAATTAATTCAAAGTCCGCGGTCGATCCCTTTTTAATTATATTATTAACAATTATGTGTTTTATTTATTTGCGATTTCATTGCTCTGTACATTATAACATGTAAACAAGTAAAAAGGTACATACACTCGAATTCACGTGCCTCAAAAAGAAGAAAGGAATGAATTTAAATGCGGTTTATCTCGCTTCGACGTGGCGCGTCTGTTAACGTTCAAAAGGGAGGTGAAAATGGAAGATGAAACGTGTATATCCTGGCTGCGTAATCATCCACGAAGTACGAAGTTACGTCCGCTTCTTGTCGAAGCTCGTTCAAACTTCCGGCGAAACAACAAGCTAATTTAAAATTTCCCGATGCGGAGTAGTTTGTGAAAAAAAAAAACCACGCCGGCGGCGGCGTCGCATGAAGAATCAAGAGCCGGCAGGTCCACCACCCATTAAGCGGATAGAGAGGCGGGGATTATTCCCTCTCTGGCGAATCCACCGGTTTGATAGCTGGCAAATAAAACAAAATGCAAATTGAACTTCAGTCCACTCCCACGAAACGCCGCCGCCGCGCGCCGCCTGGTTAAACTCTCGCATCTTTGGGAAAAAATGTATACTTTGACTCCGCGCGTAGCCGCCTCCTAGCGTTTTAATCCTCCCTCCGGCGACTCTCTTTCCTGGTCTTAATTAGCTGATAAGGTATACGATGTAAATATCCGGAGTGTATGAAAGTAACGAGAGATAATCTGTGCGTAATTACGTTTCCGCTCGCTCGAAGCGCGCGATCTCTGATCTTTGCGAATCTCCACAAATATAGAATATGATGCGGCATTCGATTTCACAAATGGATGTAATATGATTTATAAATGTGTAAGGATTTGAAAAATAGATAGAGATAGGGACATCGTCATACCTACAATACTTGTCGCTTTTATATGATACCATTCGAGATTGCGAGGAATAATACGATTACATTGCAGGAGAGGACGCTTGTTAATAAGCTATTACAATCGGAATATTATGTATACGAGAGTAAAATTACGTCAACGAACGATCGTGTTGGCGAGCGTTAGGGGCAGCGATTAAACTCCCGTTCGTTGTTAAAGAGAGTTGCGGGGAAAAGTACATTACGAAGACGCGACCGTGAGAAATGGCACGGTCGCACGCGAGGGAGTCTGAGCGATGCCGAGTCTTTCCTCGAGTATTACACTGTAATTCGTCGCAAATGGCGCAAAGCTGAAATAGCTGTTTCTCATACAAATGCATCGCGATACAACGTGAGTGAATAATGCGGCGCGCAACTTGCTCCGACAACAACTGGAATATTAGAAACGGCGCGCGTATCGCCGCAATTCCGCCGGGCATATCCAAACTCCCGGAGTCCTGTGTGTCCTCGATGGCAACAGCACAGAGAGGCGTATCGCGCCTTCGAGGGAAATCAATTTTCCCTCGAATATATCCGAAATTTCGCATCGTGCAAGCAATTTTAACCGGTAAAGCCTACCGACTACTGCGGCTATTGCAATTATTTTCATTTCGCGACCTCGTTTAGGCTTTGCAATCGCGCTGCCTCTTCCTCATTCTCTTCCCGTTCCGACATTCTGATTACCATACCACCAAACATATCGCCGCACTGTCCCCACGGTCCGACATATCCAATTTGCAGAGAACAATCAACCGGCGTAATGTCGGTTTTATTAAAAAAAATTTACATAATTACGGCGATGAATAATTAAAACGTCAAATAATAGCATAGGTAGGTATTCCAGATGTTCTTTGAAATAGTAGTAATATTTATCATTGTCCGAGTAGAACACGACATTTCCTGGAAGCCATTTATGTTTCATTTCTCGCTAATTGATCATTAGCAATGAAATTTCACGTACATTAAGTACCTTCGTTTGTTCCCTTATTGGATTACAGTATTAGAAACTCGATCCCGTTTCGGGGAGAATATTCATCATTTTTGCGACAGGAGTTATCGATAGTGCCAATGCAATTTTATATATATATATATATATATATATATATATATGTAACGATTATTGTTTTCTTTTTCCTCTATCGTTAAATTGCGGACTGTTGTTTCAGAACTTTACCCAAACCAACGAGCGGTATATAAAAAATAGATAGGCAGGGTATTTTGAAACTGCGATGATAGAACCGTGATATACTATTTTTTATCAGCAATATATGTATTCCCATTTTTGCGTATTAATTACGTGATTGTTGAATTTAAAACATTTTGTAAACCCAGCCAGAAATGGTTGATTGATCGATGTCGAATCGATGTCGAATCAATGTCAATCGACCAAACATTTCTGACTAGCAAGCCTTATTGGCAAAGGTACACGTGGCAGATAACTAAATAAATCTATCTTATCAAATAACTCTATATTTCAACAATTTCATTACTAGAGAAACATGGAAAACTAAATAATTCAAGTTCGATTAAACGGAAAAAACTCTGTTACATACATTTATTCAGAAAGAGAGAGAGAAAGAGAGAGAAGAAATTACGCGCACAATGATTATTTGCCGACTTGTGTGGCCGTTCATTATTTCGTGATGAGGGTCGATCGATCGCGCGAGTCGGAAGACTCGCCTACAAACCCGCCGGATGTTCGCCGAGCGTAAAGTATCGATGTCTGCCCTTAATTCGTCCATCACCCCTTTCTTGCATCTTCCTTTCCGACAGGCGCCGTCATTACATCACATTTATCTTCCCCCAACTGGAACTCCACCCAAGCTTAAAAAATATATACCTTATATATGTATATATAATATATATTATATATAATATATATATAATATATTATATATATATATATATAAACACGCACCCCGCACATTCGCGGTGGCCTTTAACGCGGAGCTCTCTGTGGCGCGACACGGCGAGATTTATTCGCGAAATTAGAATGGCAAAGCGCTCGTTAAAAAAAGGAATGCCCGACGTTTAATTCCCGAATAAAAGCGGAACGCGGGGCTTGTCCGGTGCACCGCAAAGAGAGAGAGAGAGAAAAAGAAAGAGAAAAAAAAGGAGGAGTACAAAAAAGCGCGATACAATACGATACGGCGCGGTGGTCCAAGAACATGGTTTACGATAATAAGGAGATAACGAAACACCATTAGCGGCCGTTGTTTCCTGAAACGCGATCTCGTTGGAAGATAACATTTTCGCTAGGGACTGCGCCCGCCTGCCTACGCGCATAGGGCATATGCTATTTTGCGCCTCGAAATCAGCATACCTATAGTCCTACCTTTGACCCATTAACCATTCCGGACGGTGCGGTCATTTTAATTAACGAGATTAACAATTAACGGAAGGGAGGACATACTAACGGCAAATATGAGGATGTGACTCTCCTTCCGGGAAAACGCGGATTAACTTTGTTGAATTAGTAAATGAAACGACGTATAAGTTACAAATTCAATTTCATAAATATTTTACAAATATTATATATTTCGTAGAAATTTCATATTTTCAAAATTTTTTTTCAGAAGTCTCTAAAAAATATAATCTTTAAAAAATAATTCTTTAATCTCAATTTCTCTTTGCAAAAATATTCAGAATGATTATATAATTTGTAAAATAATTCCGTCTTTCGCAAGAAATATTATTTCTAGATTTTTATCTCTTGCCTGTTATTAAGTTGAAAAGAATCACTGCGCCGTCTACATATAAGTGAAAAAGAGATATTAAAGAGAATAAATGTAAAAAAATAATAAAAAATATCAATCAATTATAAAAAAATTATAAAAGAATTTTATTATAAAAGAATAATAAAGAATATCAATCAATAAAAAAGAATAACAAAAACAAACGAATTTTAAGTGTCAAATTGTTTACGAAATCGTATCAAAATATAAAAGATGTAAATTACTTCATAAATATATTTGTTATAAAGTATCAATATTATTGATAATGTGTGCAAATCTTTGATATATTCATTATATATAATGTGCATATTGGTAACATTAATTATATTTGAATATGTAAAAATATAAATATGTAATGTAAATGCATACATAAATAATATAAATCGTTTTTTAATGCGTACCAAGAAAATGTAATAATAATAAGATCGAAATTACAAATCCTCTACGATACAATTCGCTATGTAAATAAGAAGTAATATAGCAAATCGATATATAATGTTGCCGAGATATACTTTTGTTTTTCTCTTGAGAAATTAGTTTTAAGCACATTTATGACTTTCTGCTTCCCTCCTGACAAGTTATCAGAACAGAAGCTGAAGGTGATGAATGTTAGTAGATTCCCAACAGCCTCGGACTAATATTACGAGCTCCCTAAGGACGAAGATGACAAACCAAACGCAATTAAGTGCGTGTCCATCGTGAAATCCTTCCTGTTCATCAATCCTACCATAACATGAGCTATTGTAAAGCGGCTATTATTAAAACATAAAAGCTTTTGGTTTTATTTATATTAAATATTAAACTATACATTTAATCTTTTTAAAGTTCACGTTCAGAAATATTTTAAAACTTTAAATAGATAATTTTGTCTTTTACTTATAATGTATTTTATTTGTATTTGAATTAGCAGAGAAAAATTTTAAGTAGAAATTTTTTAACACGTAATAAAATTTCTTTTATGTAAATTCATTATTTGAAAGAATATTATAATATTCTTATCGCACCGTACAAGTATGATACAGTGGCTGCTAAAAATTTCTGCTCAATACGTAATTTTATTGTATTGAAAATTATTAAATATATTGTATCATGATAAAAATTTTCCATATCTTCAATTTTAAATGAGCAATAAAATCCCGCAATGTTGATACAATTAGGAACA